TGGCTGGACACGCGTAGGGACCTCAGCACTGTGGCCAGACACGCGTAGGGACCTCAGAGCCATGGCTGGACACATGGGGGACCTCAGCACCGTGGCCAGACACGCGTAGGGACCTCAGAGCCATGGCTGGACCCACGTGGGGGACCTCAGCACCTGTGCACACCCATGGGCAGCAGTCGTCTGCAGGACAGCTTAGAGTCACTTCTTGCCCACGCGCCAGGAACGCTCTGTGTGCTAACGAGGCTTAAAGGACCAGAGACACCTCCGGTCAGATGGCCTCTGCCTGTGGCCTTGCCTACTGGCCAACCTGCGCACACAGCAGCCACACAGGGTCCAGAGGCACATCGAGCTGCACGCTGACCACCCCACACTCCATGGGCAGGCTGGCTAGACCAGGCCACAGCAGGACAGGCCACACAGTGCCCTCTGCAGAAACACACCATGCACATGTGTCCACACACAGCGGGCCCCACAGGCAGGCCCAGCCCAACTCTGCAGGGGACACACCCCAAGGTGACACAGAGCTCTGACTCTGGGAGCAGCCTTTGCCTGGGGACCCACCACGAGGCAGAAACAAGTTCTGGGGCTGCAGAAACATCACCACAAGCTAAAAAGTGACTGGTAGCAAGAGCGAAATAGAGAAAAGGAGGACCGGAAGGCCGCTCGGGACAGACTTAAGGCCACACTCCTGAGGAAATGACAGGAGACACCGCCACCGCCCACGAGAGCCCAGGCCAAGCAGCACAGCGAGGCCAGATCCACCAACTCGCGTGGATGGTGGCAGCCCTGGGAAGCAAAGGACCAGGGACAGTCACAAGAGGCTCTCACACACCACCCTGGCCACTGACCCTGGCAACGTCAGAGGAGAAAGAGGACACAGAAAAAACAGAGGTCAAAATGGAGGACACCAAATTATACTGAAGACCCAAACCAAAATGAATAAAAGAAAGAAAAACAACAACAACAAAAGGCAGCAGGTTGGATTTAAAAGGAAGAAAACACCTCTGAAGAGTGTGGGCCAGAGTGAGCAGGGCCCAGAGTGTGCAGGGCCCAGAGTGAGCAGGGCGTAGAGTGAGCAGGGCATAGAGTGAGCAGGGCGTAGAGTGAGCAGGGCCCAGAGTGAGCAGGGCCCAGAGTGAGCAGGGCGTAGAGTGAGCAGGGCGTAGAGTGAGCAGGGC